CCGGGCTGGGGATTCGAACCCGCCACCTCAGCTGTACGTGGCTGGTGCCTTAGCCGGCCGAGCCACAGGCGCCGAGCCCATTGTAGCTTTAATCTCTAAGAGCAAATTTAAGTTAATTGCATTCTGTGGTAGTATGTTCCTGTATAAAATTGGAACACTGCTCCTGGAAGAAACATGTTTTAAGATCTTATGCTTCAGAAGCAACACATTTTCAGCTTAAACAAAATACTTAAATAACATATATTTTATTGTGAAATTCAAGTAATACAGAAATATACTGGAAAGCTAAAATTTCTCATAATCCACACCTTTCCTTTTTCTTCTTTTTTTATTTGTGCTTAATGTGAGGGTATGACAATTAGGTTACGTTGTTTGCATTTGTTAGGTAGAGGCCAGCTCCCAGTTGTGTCCCTCACCCAGGAGGTATACCATTTACCCTTACATTGTGTCTGTTAACTGAGAGCACACTAGTCCTCCTGCCTTCTCCACTCCCCCCACTTGAGTTTGAGTTTTTCTCTTGTATGGGCGTGTATTTATTCATCTACTGTTTTCATATTAGAATTGAGTGCATTGGATACTTGCTTTTCCATTCTTGTGATACTCTTGAGAATGTTTTCAACTCCATCCGGGTTAACATAAAAGATGTAAAGTCTCCATCTTTTTTATGGGCACTTGGGTTGGTGACACTGGGTTAATGGGCACTTGGGTTGATTCCACATCTTTGTATCCCCACTTTTCTAATCTCACCCTCCTGGTCAGAAGTAACCCAATTACTAGTTTGTGTACTCTTCTAAACTATAAATATAAAGTTTTTCTTTTTCTTTTACTTTTTTCATTTTATTGAGCATCAGAATATCTTAATTTTTAGAAGTGTATTTGATGCGTTGTATGTGTATTTAAATAAATTATTCAATATATTGTTTCATAATTTGCTGTTTCCATTTAAGTTGTCTTGTGGGTCTTTCAGAGTATTAACTTATACAATTACCCTAGTATTTTTAATTGTTGAGTGGTATTCTATGGTAAGAACATATTATAGCTTATTTAACCTGATCCATTAACTTTCTATCATTTCTGATTTTTGAGACAGTAAACAGTGTGGTAAAGAATAATCACCATAGAATAACAACTTACTAAATTCTCCCTATGTGATAGAGTTGTGTGTTATTTCATCTAATCATCCCAAGCCTGAGGTATGTACCAGTTAGCATGAGGAAATCAGTCACAGAGGTGGTAAGTAGCAAACAGACCTAGTGTAACACCTGAGTTTATGCCCCTGTGGGAACAGAGTAAGCTATTCTACCATAGCTTTTGTGAGATTTTCAAGGAGATTCATACCTCTGAAAAGGTTAAGAGACAAGGTTTTGATTTTAGGGCTATAAAGAACTGTGGAGATCAGCTACTCCTTTGCTGTTACCTTAGCTAGAGTGACCCTGATCAGCCAAACGAGGGAACTTGGGAGTGAAAGAGAGGTGTTATGTTAATATTTACAGTAAGATCACAGACATGTTTGTTCTGGACAAATTGAGACATGTGTGGACACCTTAACCCTAGCCTAGGCCAGCATTACCTTTCATATGGGTTACTGCAGTAGCTTTCCATCTGGTTTTGTTTGTTTTTTGAGACAAGCTGTTGCCCTCACTAGAGTGGGTAGAGTGCTATGGCGTCACAGCTCACAGCAGCCTCAAACTCTTGAGCTTAACTCTTGCCTCAGCCTCCCAAGTAGCTGGGACTATAGGTACCTGCCACAATACCCAGCTATTTCTTTGTTGCAGATGTCATTATTGTTTAGCTGGCCCAGGTCAGGTTCGAACCAGTTTGCTACAGGTGCCGAGCCTCTGTCTGGTCTTGCATTTACTCTTATACTGTTCCAATCTGTTTTACACAGCAAGCAAAATGATATTTTTAAAAGAAAAGGCTGATTATATCCCTCAGTAGCTTAAATCCCTTTAGTGACTTTGTGAAAGGATATTTGGTCTTCATGTGATTGTTGTTAGAATCAGCATGAAGTAGAATTAAGGGCACTTAAATTGTGTTTGAGTCTTAAATACCAAGACTAGTTCAGTGCCCTTGGGCAAGCTGTTTAATTTCTTGAGGTGCTTCCTCAAATATAAAATATAGTTAATGTGAGAAGGGGAATGAGGTAATAAATATGAAGGGCACAATGTAAATGCAGGACATTGTTAATAGTTAACTTTGTGTTTGTTATACCCTTTGAAAAATTGTGTGTCCTATCAAAGTACCTATCAGGTTGTGGTAGGATTTTTACAGTCTGAACCACCTTTTGTGTGACTATCCAAGTTTCACAAAATAAAAAATTTTAGTCATTTTGTTGAGAAGTCAAAGTTCAAAAAAGTCAAGTGACTTGCCAAAGATAAAAGTTAGTTACAAGTTGGTACTATTAATAAAACCAGGACTATAACTTTGGTATTATAGTTTAATAATCTTTCCACTAGGCTCTTTTTCCTTCCCCAAATAACTAAATAGGTTACGTGTTTATAAAATCATATAAATATTGTATTTATGATATAGCTCATTATTTATAAATTGAGAACAATAGAAAAAGGTATATTCATATAGTTCATTGACTTAATCAGCACCTTTGGCTTACTAGTAATGGCTTGCAAAAAAGTAAATTTATTAGGTTACATGATTAGGTGGGAGAAATATCAGAGTAACTCTCAGAATTAAAGGTCCAAGGCTTTAGAGATAAGAACTGGAACTCAGGGTAGTCAAAACTCTCTTTATTTCTAACACCTAGGACTGAATTTTTATAGCTGGAGAACCCAGAAGGAGGCTAGGACTATATCTCTGGGAAATTTGGAAGGTGTGCATTTGTCCTAACCTGTATCTCTTAGCTAATCCCATGATAGTATTAGATTGAACTGTATGAAATCGTGAACAGTCATATTAATAACAGCTAAAAAGGCCATTTTATATGGTTCAACCAATAGTATGGGGTGATTGAGGGAACAGTGAGTCATCATAGCTTGAGAGCCCTGATAGAACCTAAAAATCGGTCGAATTTCAAAAAAGAAAAGAGCTGTATTCCTTTTTCTATCAGAAGAAGGAGAATAGGAAAGTGTTCTGGGCAGAAATAATAGTGACCATATTCTAGCACACTTACGAAGAGTATGTATGGGTCAGCTGGAATGCAGCGAGCCCATCTTGGAAATGAAAAACAATTCAAATGTGAGAGACTGAGTTGTTACTGGTCCTTTTCTGAAGTATTAGAGTTTTCACACATGGGCCTTTATGTAACAAATGTGCCCAGAGCTCTGAAGTTAAACCTTTTGCACTTTGTATAGGTTCTTTGTATACCTTCCTCATAACAATCCTGTTTAAAAATGAATAAATTAAGGCTCAAAGAGCTAAAATAACTTCCCTAAGATTATATAATTAAAATGAAACAGAATCTGATGTCTAAAGTAAAAAAACAAACCCCAATTTTTCCTTCAATACTATTATTTCTCAAAGATTGTCAGTAAACGGTCTTTACTGAAATTCCCAGTAAAGGCAGAAGAGAGTACACATTTGTATACCTGAAAGATCTGTTGACTTATATGATCTTAAATATGAATATCGTTTACTGTCACATAATGTAATGGTGATAGCTTTGGTTTTTAAATGCTGAGGTTGCTGTTTTGTTAACTCAAACTTTGCATTAAA